TTTCCTTTCTGCTTTTTTGACTGGGGCAAAAACTAGAGTTTGTGGTCACAGAGCAGAGCTTTCTCATCAGCAGGGGGCCTGCCTGGCTTTGTGCTCTCCCAAAAGGTGAGGAGAGTGAAGGTCTAAGGAAGAACAAGAAAGTCCACCAGGAAACCGTGCTCACTCCACGCCTCCCCCAACACAAGTTGAACTCCTAGGAGGTGAGGCAGGATGCTCACCTCTGGCCACCATGCCCAGCTTATCTGTGTATTTTATTAGGGCCGGGGTTTCACCATATTGGCCAGGCTGGTCTTGAACTCCTGACCTCGTGTTCGCCCGCCTTGGCCTCCCAAAGTGCTGGGCTTTGGAATCAGACCAACCTAGTTCCAATTCCCATTCTGCCGCTTAGAAGCTATAGGATCTTGGGCAACTCACTTTACCTCTCTGAAGCTCAGCTTCCTCCTGTGAAATAAGAGAGGCTCTTGCAGGATTTTTTGAGGCTTAGATTCAATAAGGAATGTGAGTGCATCTAACATCTATGTGGTGCTGGGTGTCTACATGCCTTTCTTTGTTTGTTCCCTTTTGAAGAAGCTTCTGACTTGACCTCATTTGGAAGATGACGTTATTGGAGAAGTGCACTCTGCTGTTCTCTTGGAAGAGGACAATAAAATGCATCTGCCACCCAGGCTGTGGTGGATCCATTGCAGCTTACTGCAGCCATTGCCACCCAGGCTCAAGTGACCCTCTGCCTCAGCCTAGCCTCCAGAGTAGCTGGAGCCACATATGTGTGCCACCACGCATGGCTAACTTTCTAAAAAAATTTTTGTAGTGACAGGTGGTCTCAGTATGTTGTCCAGACTGGTCTGTTTTGTTTTGTTTTGTTTTTTTCTTGAGATAGAGTTTTGCTCTGTTGCCCAGACTAGAGTACAGTGGTGTGATCTCAGCTCACTGCAACCTCCACCTCCAAGGTTCAAGAGATTCTCCTGCCTCAGCCTCCTGAATAGCTGGGAATACAGGCATGCAGAACCACACCGGACTAATTTTTGTATTTTTAGTAGAGATGGGGTTTCACCATGTTGGCCAGGCTGGTCTTGAACTCCTGGCTTCAGGTGGTCTGCCCGCATCAGCCTCCCAAAGTTCTGGGATTACAGGAGTGAACCACTGTGCCTGGCCATGAAGTGCATTTTGATCCACCCGATGAAGTCCTCCTCTGCCAGCGTTCTGCTTCCCCCCATCATTAGGGCAGCCAGATCCTAATTGTGCATGTCGGCCTTGCCTTCTGCTATGTGTGCGCCTTCCCCACATTACACAAATCCTTACCATAATGTTGTGAAATATGTTGGGCACAGGTTTCTCTCCCTGTTTCACAGATGGGTCTAGAGACTTACATGACCCAGCCAAGGTCACACTGCAAGCCCTGGCATGGCCTAGAACAGGCTTTCTCAGCCTCAGCACCATTGATATTTGGGGCAGGGCACGTCCTGTTGCCCAGTGCAGTGTCAGATGTTTAGCAGCATCTCTGCTGTCTGACCACTGGATGCCAAGAACATCAACCCCAGCCATGACAACCAACAATGTCCCCAGATGTTGTCAAACGTCTCCTGGTGGCTGAACCAGCCCCACTGAGAAATACCGCCTTAGAACGCTCTGGGTTCAGCATGCCGCCTTCATCTTTTCATTGAAAACACAACTCCTGGCGCGGTGGCTCAGCCTGGAATCCCAGCACTTTGGGAGGCTGAGGCGAGTAGATCACTAGAGGCCAGGAGTTGGAGACCAGTCTGGCCAACATGATGAGACCCATGTTTCTACCAAAAATACCAAAATTAGCCAGGAATGGTGGCACACACCTGCAATCCCAGCTACTAGGAAGACTGTGGCAGGGGAATTGCTTGAACTCAGGAGGCAGAGGTTGCAGTGAGCTGAGATCACAGCACTACACTCCAGCCTGGGTGACAGAGCATGACTCCATCTCAGAAAGAAAAAAAAGAAAGAAAGAAAGAAAACACACAACTCCTCTCCTCAGTCTTACTCAGGGAGGAAAAAAAAATAGAAAACACAACTCCAAGGACCAACAATTAGTATTTTTCTTCCTTCCCTAACACACAACATAATCTCTTCAAAACAGATGGAACCCATATCCCAATATCTACCTTTGGCATCTTTTTCAAAGTATTTCTAGGGTGACAGTTGGGAGCAAATGGGAAAAAAAATATTTGGACGCAAACTCTTTTTTCCACTGGGCTTTGAGAAAATCCCCATCTTGCGTGCTCCCAGTGTATCTCTCACTGATAAGTTCACTCATAAAACCAGGGCCTTCTCCAGGGCCATGTTGACAAAACTCCCACGGACACACCATGATTAGGAGCCTGCTGCTGTCCGCTTTGGTGGCTGGAGGTAAACCCTGTCACCCAGAGCCACTGGTTTCCCATCCCCTGGTGTGGCTGGAATGGGATCTTCCTGTCCTCCCCTCTCGCCCCCACCCAACCCCCACTGCATTCAGACCTATAATCATAAGAAAACTGGAATGGAGTTTCAAAGAACTGGAGCAAAGAGAAGGATTCCATGACCTCTTGGGATCCTTCTAGAACAAGAGTTTTCTACTTGGGGGTTCAGAATGCAGCAAGTGTAGTTTACATTGTGTGGGTCGCTGCTTCCTGGACTCAAGACCCTTTCTCTTTTCATAGCCCTCAGTTGTGGGGTCCCCACTTACCCGCCTTCTGTGACTAGGGTGGTTGGAGGTGAAGAAGCGACACCCAACAGCTGGCCCTGGCAGGTGAGTTGACCACACTGTACTTCCCCCTGTCCCTGCCCCACTCCCTTTCCATCCCCCCTTTGCCCTTCCACCATGGGGTCCACTGTGCTGGCAAAGTGAGGACTGATGGGACTCAGAGAGCAGCACAGGCAACTTCACCAGTAAGATACATTTCCAACTGGGTGCAGTGGCTCATGCCTGTTATCCCAGCACTCTGGGAGGCCATGGTGGGCAGATCACCTGCGGTCACGAGTTTGAGACCAGCCTGGCCAACATGGTGAAACCCGCCTCTATTAGTAACACACAGTTATCCAGGCGTGGCAGCACACACTTGTAATCCCAGCAACTCGGGAGGCTGAGGCAGGAGAATCGCTTGAACCCAGGAGGCAGAGGTGGCA